AAATTAAAGTAAAGCAAAGTAACTCTTGTTTATTTCAATTATGTATTATTAGGAGTACAATTATTCTTGTAGAAACATTGTGGATAATTAGTTAATTGCTTGGTATGTGTTTGAACTTTTGTACTCTTATATTATATAGAAAATCGATGAACAGCAATGCTGAGAGCATGGTTTCTTGAACCACTGTCCTTACTGACATTTTTAGCCCGTGACTACAAATGCAGGTGAGCTACAGTACCTGGCAGGGCGGTGGGGTAGCCTAGTGGTCAAAGCGTCCTCTCGTCACGCTAAAGACCCGGGGTCGATTCTCCACATGTGTACAATGTGTGAAGCCCATTTCTGGTGTCCCCCACTATGATATTTCTGGAATATTGCTAAATGCCGCGTAAACTGAACTCACTCACTACAGTACCTGGCAGTATTTTGCTGGATACTGTACCTGATGCAGTGTAAATATAATCTAGTCACAACAAGCACGTTATCTGGAAAATGAAACCTTATGCAGAAGTCCATGCACATGTTACTGTCAAAATAATCAATATCTTAAAGCAGAATTTTCCCCTTAAACCTACCGACACACAATAACTTATTATATAGAACAGACTTTATGGATAACAACTTCTTTTTATTCGTGAGTGCAACATTTTCAATATCTGTATCGAAACGTTGCACTCACGAATAAAAAGAAGTTGTTATCCATAAAGTTTGTTCTATATTGTGCTTCCCAACTTCTAAAATGCCACTCAAAGAAGTAATAACTTATTACCAAACATAATTAATAAATACTAAGTTCCACTATTCTATTTTTTTTCCAACCTGCCAAGACTAAGTGTTCAAAATTACGTCTTGTAGCCATGAAATACAGGTGTAACCATGAAATACAGGTGTAGCCATGAAATACAGGTGTAACCATGAAATACAGGTGTAACCATGAAATACAGGTGTAACCATGAAATACAGGTGTAACCATGAAATACAGGTGTAACCATGAAATACAGGTGTAGCCATGAAATACAGGTGTAACCATGAAATACAGGTGTAACCATGAAATACAGTGTAGCCATGAAATACAGCAGTGTAACCATGAAATACAGGTGTAACCATGAAATACAGGTGTAGCCATGAAATACAGGTGTAACCATGAAATACAGGTGTAACCATGAAATACAGGTGTAACCATGAAATACAGGTGTAACCATGAAATACAGGTGTAACCATGAAATACAGGTGTAACCATGAAATACAGGTGTAGCCATGAAATACAGGTGTAACCATGAAATACAGGTGTAGCCATGAAATACAGGTGTAGCCATGAAATACAGGTGTAACCATGAAATACAGGTGTAGCCAAAGCTCTTAGTCATGTTGGTTCTGTAATTATTTCAAACCAGTTTAGCAGTCGCAGTTAAGTGCTCCATCTTGAATTTAATTTGAATGTGAATGATCATGATATCTTTGACTGGTATCCAAGATTACATGTTTTAGAGACTCATTTAGAACTGAAACTGTCTTCTGATGAAATTATCTCATCTTTGTTTTTTCCGCAAAAGACTTACAATTTTAAATGACCGAGAGTTCCAAACCCCTCAACATGTTAAAAGTGACATAAACTCATTCGGCAAGAGTTTTTCACCATCTTTTTGTCGCCAAACCAACAGACCCTCAAATGAAAAAAATATTTTAAAAAACAAACGAAAGTTTTTTTTGAGAGAGTGCAGATGGTTTTCTGTGTCAAATTTAAGCTAAACATGTTTTGTAAGAATGCTGTTGAATTGCTTCCCACAGATTTGAGAAATGTTGACGGTAGAGATGATTGTTAGGATAATACCTTACCTTAAAAAAGTCATATCAGTCATGTTGAACATCTAATTTTGGGCGTTGTATTGAGATTTTGGCTAAGACGTATTTGTCTTTCAGAAAGTCTGGATAATGACTTTTGCAAAAAGAAGTGCCATCCTGTTTTCCTTCCGAGGACCAAGGTTGAAATGACCGTAGAGCATCCATTTTTTATGAGGGATAAAGGGATAAGCCTGATATTTCAATGCTCTCTGGCCCCAGAATAGGAAATGATGATATGACAAAGTCAATAGATATCGTAATTACAACTAACAATTCAAATAAAATTGTTGAAAGATATTTATGATTTTCTTCTTATATATGTCTAGGGATCTGTGACATTGTAACAAGGCTGCGATAATATTTTAATATAAAATTGTCATAAAAACCATATCTCTCTCTATCTGGAAAGGCCCTGGGTCCTTGGCTAGTTGAGACATGCTGCTGTTTGAATCCAGTGATCAGTAAGTTTTCAACTTCAGTATAAAGGAGTCATTGACTTCCTTGCTAAATTTCCAACATTGCTAAGGGAGACAACTCTTACCAGTACCTACCAATGTCCTTGATCCATTTGAAACTATACCTCATGTCATATAACCATGTTACAGCGTAATTGTTGTGTAACTAGTCCCTGCCTTCCTCCACCTTACCCATGAAGATCCGAGTTAGAATTGGTCTTCAGTAACCCATGCTTGTCAACCGTGAAGATCCAGGCTAGAATTGGTCTTCAGTAACCCATGCTTGTCAACCGTGAAGATCCAGGCTAGAATTGGTCTCCAGTAACCCATGCTTGTCGTGAGAAGTGACTAGCGGTATTGGGTGGTCAGGCTCACTGACTTGGTTGACACATGTCGTCATATCCCAATTAAGTAGAACTATGCTAATAATATTGATCACTGGATTGTCTGGTCCAGAATTGTTTATTTACAGATCGCCGGCATATAGCTGGAATATTCCTGAGTGCAGCATTCAACAACAAACCAACTAAAATTCCCCCTTCTCCTTTTCTTCCTGTTTCTCTCCTTCCACTTCACTCACTCAGAATGTATTTTCTCGATAAAAAAACTGTGATACACTAGATAACCTTAGTTGATAGCAGCTGGCCCACAACTCAGTGTAGATGGTCGTTTAATGTAGATAAAGGATGGAAACATCCAATCCTTTCAGACAACCAGTACTCTCGGAATAACACCCCAGTGGCAGTCGGACCCAAAGTCCGAAATCATTATCTCAGCTCCATGTCAGAATATTAAGATATGATTTGCTGACACGGTCTTGATAAAATACTATGCCTCCCAGCAGGAATAAATCACTTGCACCCTGCTACAAAGCTGCATGTTGCTCAGGAAAGTCCCATGACACAGGACAAATTAACCTCATCTCAGTCGACAGGTGTTTCCTATCTGTTTTTTATTTGTTCTAATTGCTCTGGCAGACTGAAACATGTTGGTAAGGTAATGCCATGGAATAAAACCAAAAGTGGAATGCATGAAACCCTGTATAACGATAGTGATTCTTTGACAAGTTAAGACAAAAAAGTTGTAAACACCACCAACTTCACTAGGACTCAAGGCAACACACCCGAAGTGGCCAGTGTTACCAATGCAATGAACCAGTCAGATAAACCTTGTAGTATGATCTGATGCGACCCCTCTGTAGAAATCTACCAAAGTCTAAACTAATTTTTCTCCATCTATGAATCAATCCTGAATGAAGCATATCACCAGCCAGTGTGTGAAATAGCCACTGGTCCGCTAGCCTCTGGCTAGTAATAATCCAGTCGGGCCAGTAAATTTCCGCAGTCACTGCCCGACTGGCTAGTGAATTCTCATTGGGTCATTTTTTAAATATATCACTCTCTCTGACTTTTTAAGTTATAATACATTGTTAACTCATGCACGATTATGACGTGATTAATGATGGTATTTTATCTTTTTTTGTTATCCTTTGCTTAGTTCCCACATACAAATTTCGGACTAGTGAATCATTGTGAGGGCTAGTAACTTTCAGACATAGTTAGCCTGACTGGCAAGCAACATTTGGAACCTTTTTACATACTGTCACCAGCACGTACGTGATCCCGGTAGTTGTTTGTCTTCTGTTGTTATTTTTTTACGAAGCGCTGGAACATGGCACAGTGTTTGCCATGACGCAGAAAACCTGCGTATTTGACGCACAAATTATCTCAAATATGCAGTGAATTTAGAAGCTTGCGTCATTGTTGACACAATGCTACTGGGCCCTTAGTTCAGTTAATCTAAACTTCTAAAACTAAATGTTCGCCAGTTAACTGCTCAGTGCTGATTAAATACCTGACCTGCCTTACCTTGTATTTTGTCGTGTTTATTAAACAATCACAGTTGATATCTTGATGAAAGTTCCAAACTGCAGTTGACTCCCAAAACATGTCCATGACTCCCTCTCATGACACCAGGGAGTCATGATGACTCCTAAATTTTTAAGCCTAGGGCAAACACTGCATTTTTGTATATTGATACATTGCTGCACAAAATTGGTGATCACACGTCTGTTCATTTGAAGTAATGAAATAAGTTAGTTTAATCACCAATTAGATAAGGTTTGATTTACTAGGCTTAGTCAAATGAGGTCTCCCAGCAGAAACTTCTTCAAATCTTCTTACATGAATGCCAAAGCTTGAAAAGCTCATTAATTTCATTGATGAAACTGTGTCTTAAATACACATTACTTTAAGAATGACATGTGAAGAGATTATTAGCCTTTTGTGGCTGCATTTTGAATATTGTATATTACTAATTTATGATATGTCTTATGTCCACCAAAGGCTTGCATAGTACAACTCTATTTCAATTATATGATATTTACCATTATGAATATACAACAACCTAATATCTCTAACTTTTGGAAGTAAAAAAAAAGTAATTTATCCATGCCTTTGTACCAGGATTGTTTAATTTTTTTCATCAAACCCAAAATTAAAAGTATGGGCTGAAACAAAAGTTGTGTTGTTCATAATCTTAAGTTGTAATCTCTGAGATGTTTATGTTTTGCGACTTTGTATGTTTACCCACCAGAGAGATCTGTAGTATTAGCCGCGTTCTCCTGATATTATTACATACAATAACCATCCACAACAAGAAGATGCATGTAAAACTGCGTCGTTAATCATACAGTCCGAGGTGCAGACCTGGTAGTTTGCACACATGAATAGCAAATTGCCACCTAGCTTGTTTTGTTTCCATCAGCGCTCTGGAGAAAGGCCAGATGCCAGCCATCACCAAGTGGTCAGAAAAACAAGCAAGATTTAGTCACCATCAGTACACTGACCATATGCCATGAAAGCTCGGATCGTAATTCCAAGCTGGGAAATTGACCACCAATTTGAAAGTGACCATGAGTCTAAAAGTAGAAAAGTCTTGCAATATGTCTGGTGGCTCCCCCTGGAGGCCTAATTGTATGGCCTTTGCCACCGGCATGGCACCTCACCTGGCCAGTAATTATTAACTAAGCCAGCTAATTTTTCAGGCAACATGAGCAAATGACAGTAAATTACAGCCAAGGAGAGTGTCTGGCTTGTTTCACAGATCAGGTGTATCCCAACCCTTGCGCCACTTATTTAAGTGACCGGAAATAGCTAATAGATTGCTTGGCTTCCAGCTGCTGGGCCGGATTACGATTTCAGGGTTTGCTGTTGCCTCCCAGAAGACATTGTTATTTTCATGAGCACAAAGCTCCTGTTTCCTTGTTACGATATATTTTTAGCTCATCTGGAATATGTCTTGGCCTTAATCTGGCAACGTCTTCTCTGAAATTGTTTGATCAACGAAGATGAGTCTTGCGCATCTGAAGTGTTCAGTGGGCAACATTGAAGGATGACACAAAAACAATTTTAGCTCACCTCAAGTATGTGTTAACCTTAATCTGGCAACTTTTCTGAAATTGTTTTGATGAAGATAATCTTAGGCAGTTTAAGTGTCCACTTGTGAACTCAAATACTGACACAAAAACAATTTTAGAACCTTTGTGTTGCCATCATCTGACAACATCTATGACATTTTTCAACCAGTGAAAATGCGTCTTAGGCGTCTGAACAATCTTAAGTATCCATTGGTCAAAGATGACATACAAACAATTCAATTCTTTTTATAATTTGATTTTCCATTTCAGCATATACATTTTTGTCCTTTATCAATATAAAAAAAGTTTGGTGCAGTTCGGATAATTAATAAAATTTTCTAAAGTACTGATGTTTCCTCAAACATATTTTTTATCATTCAGTATATTTGTATATCTTTTAATTTTATTGTTCCAACATTTCAGTTGCTGCTAACCACGTCAGTCAGACCTAGGAACAAACAATAAATCGGCTTGTTCTATAAAGAAATAATTCAGTTTTAATGTTATCTTCTCAAATTTGATTGCAACAGTTGTAAGAGCTCCGCCCATAACCCCTGCTTGAAATGTATTATATCTATTAGGATTATTCGAGGGTTTAGGGTTTAGGCTTAGGGTTTAGGGTTAGTTTTAGGCTGTTTATAAATAGCATAGGCCTATAACCTTAGGCATAGAATGATTTAAGAAAATACAGGGGTTACAGGTGGAAATCTTTCCCAACAAGTTGATATGAAGTTAAGATGGTTTTCAAGGCATCGCTTTAGGGTGTTAAACATAACGGAAACTTTTTGCCGTTTCAAAGAAACCAGTGTTGTATTTGTACAGAAGTTTTTTTATACAAACAGTTTTGTTTAGTTGTGACTGTTGAGAAATTAGAAACATTTAATGTAAAAAATTTTATGTACATAATGGTAAAAGCATGCTTCATTACTACATTTAAACATTACACAAGTATTCATGACATAGCATGCAACAGAGCAACCCATGTGTTTCACATTCCTACCTTCAAACTCCACAATATAATACATCAGCTTTATATTATTTGAGATTACACACATGCACCCCTTTCCTGCCATATTGAGCTGACATGCTGTGATATAACTGGTACATTGTTCTAATCATCACTAAACCAAACTCTTTCACTGATCCAATAGTGGCACAACATGCGTTGACTTCAAAACTGATATTAACAGTTCATACCACATCTGTCCTATGCATCAGGCTCCAATATAAGATCTGCAAATACTGCATTGTATTACATCAATACCATTGAGGATTAAACACCCATGCTCTGTGTGAAGGAAACATCATGCAGCCTAAGAATTTGATTAATTATTTGCATTTGCAGAGAAAAACTTGATCCCCAAATAGTATATTGTCATGCCCATTAGATAAATACAAGATGGCTTAGATGGAAGAGTGATTTTAAGGTTAATGATACATGCGTGTTATTGTAGTGGTACTTAGAATTAGAATTTCATCTAAAAGCCTTTTCACATTTATGCAATAAAGTTCTTTCATATTTTTTGATGATCCGTGTTTATGAGGATTTGGGGATGTAAATATTGTACTAAAGGACAAAACCTGAAATAGCACTGTCCTGACAACTAATTCAGGGATAAGATCTCACTTTAACAACCAAATCACCTGACAATGCTATTTAACTATGCTGAGTGGAAGACATGTAAATATGAACCTAATCTACAGTTTGGGATGAGTACCCACCTAAACATGGTATGTGACGGGCACCGACTTGTCAGTATTGACACATACCGACAAATGTTGATGGCAAATCATGTGGATAATTAGCCTCATTTCGGCCAGCTTCGTAAATCTCCTTGTCCCATTAATAAGTCTTTTAGCACCTCAGTCGAGTTGTCATGAAAAATGTATGAGTCGGAGAATCTTGAGGAGAATCACCAGGGTTAGTCGGCTCAGCCCCTGACCCCCAAAGTGGGCACTTATTGATATTTGAGAGCTAGTGTTTGGAATATGTGATCAAAAATCCATGATTGGCTGTAACCCCCTGAACTGGTGACTTGGTCAGTTTATGCCTGCATGATGTACTGGGTTTATGAGATGCATGCTTATTCGTCTCCATCACTTCAGCATTTGGCAAAATTGAAATTTGGTTTCATTGATGTGCAGGTTACTTTTGATTATTGGAAGCCACCATTGGAAGCTGTTTTTGATAGTTTGCATGTGGGTTTGGATAATGCTTCTCAATATGAGCTTGCACTATGGCTTCAAGATGATTGCCTAAGTGATGCTTTCTTGAGTCAAATGTTAAGCTGTTTTTGTCTTCTTGGAAGGTGTAATGTGGTTTGATATTGTGAATATGTGCCTTGTAAGTGTGAGCGTGTGTCTGAGGTGAAACCTACATCTGACTTAGGTGCAGTATAGTTGTGTTTGTTTGTTGTTTAGTGCCCTGCTAGTTGACCTGTATTCCTGTTTTATGATGTGGAATTAATGGAGTCTCAGATAGACCATTCAGTGATTGATATGAGCTTTGATGTACACAGTTGGGTTATGATGACATGATCAACCAAACACTGTGTCTGGATGTAGGTGTGAAGTGTGTCTGAAATAAGTGTGAACTGTCTGAAATAGGTGAACTGCATCTGAAATAAGTGTGAACTGTGTCTGAAATAAGTGTGAACTGTGTCTGGATATTGGGTGTAAACTGCATCTGAAATAAATGTGAACTGTGTCTGAAATAAGTGTGAACTGTGTCTGACATAAGTGTGAAGTGTGTCTGAAATAAGTGTGAAGTGTGTCTGAATTGGGTGTGTCTGAAATAAGTGTGAAATGTGAACTGTGTCTGATATAGGTGTGAAGTGTGTCTGGATATAGGTGTGAACTGTGTCTGGATATAGGTGTGAACTGTGTCTGGATATAGGTGTGAACTGTGTCTGGATATAGGTGTCAACTGTGTCTGGATATAGGTGTGAACTGTGTCTGGATATAGGTGTGAACTGTGTCTGGATATAGGTGTGAACTGTGTCTGGATATAGGTGTGAACTGTGTCTGGATATAGGTGTGAACTGTGTCTGGATATATGAGTGTGAACTGTGTCTGGATATAGGTGTGAACTGTGTCTGGATATAGGTGTGAACTGTGTCTGGATATAGGTGTGAACTGTGTCTGGATATAGGTGTGAACTGTGTCTGGATATAGGTGTGAACTGTGTCTGGATATAGGTGTGAACTGTGTCTGGATATAGGTGTGAACTGTGTCTGGATATAGGTGTGAACTGTGTCTGGATATAGGTGTGAACTGTGTCTGGATATAGGTGTGAACTGTGTCTGGATATAGGTGTGAACTGTGTCTGGATATAGGTGTGAACTGTGTCTGGATATAGGTGTGAACTGTGTCTGGATATAGGTGTGAACTGTGTCTGGATATAGGTGTGAACTGTGTCTGGATATAGGTGTGAACTGTGTCTGGATATAGGTGTGAACTGTGTCTGGATATAGGTGTGAACTGTGTCTGGATATAGGTGTGAACTGTGTCTGGATATAGGTGTGAACTGTGTCTGGATATAGGTGTGAACTGTGTCTGGATATAGGTGTCAACTGTGTCTGGATATAGGTGTGAACTGTGTCTGGATATAGGTGTCAACTGTGTCTGGATATAGGTGTCAACTGTGTCTGGATATAGGTGTGAACTGTGTCTGGATATAGGTGTGAACTGTGTCTGGATAAGGTGTGAACTGTGTCTGGATATAGGTGTGAACTGTGTCTGGATATAGGTGTGAACTGTGTCTGGATATAGGTGTGAACTGTGTCTGGATATAGGTGTGAACTGTGTCTGGATATAGGTGTGAACTGTGTCTGGATATAGGTGTGAACTGTGTCTGGATATAGGTGTGAACTGTGTCTGGATATAGGTGTGAACTGTGTCTGGATATAGGTGTGAACTGTGTCTGGATATAGGTGTGAACTGTGTCTGGATATAGGTGTGAACTGTGTCTGGATATAGGTGTGAACTGTGTCTGGATATAGGTGTGAACTGTGTCTGGATATGTGTGAACTGTGTCTGGATATAGGTGTGAACTGTGTCTGGATATAGGTGTGAACTGTGTCTGGATATAGTGTGAACTGTGTCTGGATATAGGTGTGAACTGTGTCTGGATATAGGTGTGAACTGTGTCTGGATATAGGTGTGAACTGTGTCTGGATATAGGTGTGAACTGTGTCTGGATATAGGTGTGAACTGTGTCTGGATATAGGTGTGAACTGTGTCTGGATATAGGTGTGAACTGTGTCTGGATATAGGTGTGAACTGTGTCTGGATATAGGTGTGAACTGTGTCTGGATATAGGTGTGAACTGTGTCTGGATATAGGTGTGAACTGTGTCTGGATATAGGTGTAAACTGTGTCTGGATATAGGTGTCAACTGTGTCTGGATATAGGTGTCAACTGTGTCTGGATATAGGTGTCAACTGTGTCTGGATATAGGTGTCAACTGTGTCTGGATATAGGTGTCAACTGTGTCTGGATATAGGTGTGAACTGTGTCTGGATATAGGTGTCAACTGTGTCTGGATATAGGTGTCAACTGTGTCTGGATATAGGTGTCAACTGTGTCTGGATATAGGTGTCAACTGAACTGAAATAAGTGAACTGCATCTGAGATAAGTGTGAACTGTGTCTGAAATAAGTGTGAACTGCGTCGAAATAAGTATGAACTGTGTCTGAAATAAGTGTGAACTGTGTCTGAGAAAAGTGTGAACTGTGTCTGAAATAAGTGTGAACTGCGTCTGAAATAAGTATGAACTGTGTCTGAAATAAGTGTGAACTGTCTGAAACAAGTGTGTGCTGTGTCTGAAATAAGTGTGAACTGTCTGAAACAAGTGTGTGCTGTGTCTGAGAAAAGTGTGAACTGTGTCTGAAATAAGAAATAAGTGTGAACTGTGTCTGAAATAAGTGTGAACTGTCTGAAACAAGTGTGTGCTGTGTCTGAAATAAGTGTGAACTGTCTGAAACAAGTGTGAACTGTTTCTGAAATAAGTGTGAACTGTCTGAAACAAGTGTGTGCTGTGTCTGAAATAAGTGTGAACTGTCTGAAACAAGTGTGAACTGTGTCTGAAATAAGTGTGAACTGTCTGAAACAAGTGTGAACTGTGTCTGAAATAAGTGTGAACTGTCTGAAACAAGTGTTTGCTGTGTCTGAAATAAGTGTGAACTGAACTGTCTGAAACAAGTATGAACTGTGTCTGAAATAAGTGTGAACTGTCTGAAAGAAGTGTGTGCTGTGTCTGAAATAAGTGTGAACTGTCTGAAACAAGTGTGTGCTGTGTCTGAAATAAGTGTGAACTGTCTGAAATAAGTATGAACTGTGTCTGAAATAAGTGTGAACTGTCTGAAACAAGTGTGTGCTGTGTCTGAAATAAGTGTGAACTGTCTGAAACAAGTGTGTGCTGTGTCTGAAATAAGTGTGAACTGTGTCTGAAATAAGTGTGAACTGTGTCGAAATAAGTATGAACTGTGTCTGAAATAAGTGTGAACTGTCTGAAACAAGTGTGTGCTGTGTCTGAAATAAGTGTGAACTGCATCGAGAAATCTGAAACAAGTGTGTGCTGTGTCTGAAATAAGTGTGAACT